GCCTCCCTTCTAGCAGCAAACCATTCAGTTAGCTTGCTACGAATGAAGTCAATCAGAGGTATCACCGGATACTCCCTTGCCTCACGGAGCACAGAATTCCAAGACTCTGCTAGATTGCTTGTCATGATATTATACCGATTCCCCGGAAAATGCGCCCTCGCCCAATGCTCGAACCCTATCTCCAGAAGATACTCCGCACACGCCGGCTCCATAGCCTTAATCTCATTGAAAGTTGTGTAAAATTCCTGCATACGAAAAGTTCTTGCAGCCTTTGCTACAAGGTATTCTAAATGACGCGCCTTGAAGTTTGAACGTATGTTCCTCTTCAAATGGACCACGCAAATGCAGTGGCCAGCCGTTGGATAAACCTGCATTTTCATACACAATGTAATCAATTTATATGAGGACAACGCATGCAAACTTACTAAGGAAACGACTATAATAGGTAACATAGACGGTTATACATGTAATTACCTTGCTAATGCCTTTGTATATCGATGCATGCCTGTCTGATACAAACACCAACGACTCATTACCCTCCACAAATGATGATAGCCTTTGAAAAAACCACTCCCAGGATTGATCATTTTCGCTGTCTACAATGGCAAAAGCAAGCGGAAATATCTGGTAGTTGCCATCTTGTGCTGATGCAGTTAATAAACAGCCCGCATACTTGCCTTTTAAGTGAGTCCCATCGACTACCACCACTTTCCGCATAAACTCATAACCTTGTATACAAGCACCAAAAGCAACAAACATATATTTGAAACGATGGCCACCCTCCTCAACTGTCTCGGTATGGAGCTCTGCTATTGTTCCTGGATTTGCGGATACCAGTTTCTGTAGATAGTCGGGAAGTTGCTGGTACGATGCGTGGGTTGTGCCTTTCGCTTTATCAATGGCCAGATCTCTTGAACGCCATGCCTTCCAATATGATATATTTACATCGTGGTCACCACGCATCATCTGCCTTATTTCACGTGGTTTTGGCCCTCCAGAAGCGCCACCAAATTTGCTTCTCATGAGCTCACCTATAACCGAGCATGTCGCTTGACTCTGATAGCCGCCACGTTCATCTACTGAACAAGAATGTTCAGAGATAACCTTCCGTATCTCGAAAACCTCAGCATCCCTTAGTTTCACCGCATACACACGCCAAGAACACGATGAACTGCAGCATCTAAGGACCATTAACCCTGGCTCAGACTTGGTACTTCTGTATCGAAATTTCTTGCTCAGTGCATATAGAGCCATATGCTGCTTGAATGCCTCTCTTGTCCTGAACATCATTCCAACTTCAATCTCACCGCCATAGTCTCCTATTTCACCTAGATCAAAATTCGTTAAAATATTAGCAAGTCTAACTGAAAAACACAACAACTTTAGGTATACATTGTAATACATACGGTGATCTTTGTTAACTGTCATGCTAACTGAAAAAAATTAAAAGACAAGTGCATGGGTATACTATACCCCGAATTTCAAGTACTGCTGGGCATCCAACCAATATCAAAAAAATATATATTATAATGATAAGAAAAATATTTTCATATGGTACAAATGTCACGTAATGCTACAACGTGTTTTCACCATCCACACATAAAGGGCTTCATCAATGCCAATAAAAATATTATCAGGCTACAAAGTAAACGGCTATACATATGGTTACGTAATGGGTTTCACTCCCCTAAAACAAGAAAACTACAATGTCAAAGTTTATCTACCAGCCCAATACGACATGAAAAAGCTAGTCGTTAACAAGACACCATATTAAAACAACAAATAATCACCGCCGCTTTTTATATTCTCTTCTGACTAACTCATTTGACTTACAATGACAATTGAGAAATATATAAATTCGTACTCTCAAACAAGGGATTATGCCTATTTTAACCAGTTTTTTCAGTTGTTACTATAGTGGTTTGACAATAAGCCCATAATTTAATACGTAAATGTTACAATCTTTCGTTAACACTCCAAAATAGTGAAACGTCATGTTATAATCCACTCCTTAGCAGCACATATAATGAAAATAAGATGATATCATTCAAGCTCGGTCACTCGATATTTAGCCTCGAAAAGCTAACCAGACAGGCTAAGATATCAAATAACCTAACAATGAAGACAGACACCATTACAGACTCCGACTGACACCAACGGTTCTAAGTGTTGTTAGCAGACAAACACAACACAAAATTCGCTACAACGACCATTTTAAACCGCACCGGATAAAACTAGACATATTTATGCTATCTTCCACGACCGGTAAAACAATGCATAGCCTATTTGTAAACGTGGTATCAGGCTATCCCATGCAATTTACCGATCGTTGGAAGTGCAAACCCCCGCAAACTGACTCTTTATTAGTTCAAAAGATAAAGTAAAAAACCAACAACACACACGCGATATCTGCATGATTCACCACCCACCCTCAGTGCTGCTCCCTTCAGATGACGTTTCTTTACCCTTTTTGCTGACAACGGTTTTGCTAGTCCCGACTCCTTGCTCGTTACATGTAATAGCTAGCTGCATCATTGATGGTACGTCCGTAGCATCCGTTGCGGAGGCCTGTGGCTCTGTGTTGGTCACCACAACTGTTCCAAACGGAACTGAGTCAATTGCTCCTCCGGTCACAGCACCTGCATACCCTTTATATTAATTTTCATATTTAAATAAATATATATTTAACACCTTTTATCTCTTTCTGCGGAATATCTCACCTGTCTGAACATGTAGATGCACGTTTGGATCATTTGCTGCCATCACATTTACTTCCTCTTCCATGCAATCGTGAACATTTGGTGCAAACACCTCACCAGTTGAACCAGTGCAAGACCCGCCGTCATCTCCCAGCACAACAGCGTTCGCGGCGACAGTGACGCTGTTTATGTTATCTTGACCTACTATACTATCACAAAACACCACACCAACATTACGACCATTGGTTGGTGGAGGCACAACTCCTCCAACAGGGCAAACTTCACTACTACCAGCCACCCCTTTCTTCCCCCCGTTATCTATCCCATTGGAACTGGACCCATTGTTGTTTGTTTGCCCTTGATAGCTCACCAAGTCCATTCCAACATCCCAAAATACGGGGGGAGCATCCTGCTGCGTCATAGGGTCAGCGACAACGTTGGCAGCTCCTGTGTGCACAAGTCAATACATTTCTATTTAGTTTCCAGTTGTACAACGGATACCAACTTACTAACAAAACAAACCTTATATTTACATTGCTTGCTATGTAAGATTTTTATAGTAAAAGACATATATATATACGTTTGTTACTATATATAAATTTTTTTTTTAGGCGTGTATACTATGTTACTAACCATTCACATTAGCCCCCGTGGTGTCCTCAACCATTTCGTTATCGTCGTCATCAAGTTCGATTATCTCCCTCGGAGGTTGGTTGGCACGATTATCTTCAGCTATACAGATGTCAGCAAAAGCCATTTCAAAAGAAACCCTGTGGAACACCAGCATCTGTTCCTCTGTGAAAATCTGATTCATCACGTGTTCCGTTGTAGCCGCACGATCTCCAAAGACAAGACATGAAGCAAATAAAACGGTTCAGATTATATATAATCAATAAAAACGAAGAAAACTTTTTTTATTAACTGTTCTTACAAAGCACTTACGTTCATACGCCATTCTTGAGCTGTCGTTTGCGCTAGCATCAAATATATAGGCTGTCGGACCAACAGTGAAATTAGTACGGCACAGAAACTGGTACTCAGCAACGCTTTTAGGTCCCACAGTCACTAGTATTGCTAGGTCATCCAACCAGGGTCGGGAGTGTAACAGCATGCACAGATCAGAGGTGTTGGAAATAGTCATCGGAGGGGTTCTGAAACCCTGCTGGCCGAGCATCCAAGCCGGAAGCCGGTATGTAACTACTAGAGGAGTAGTTTGCCTCAGGGAATAGCGTCGCCTTATGATCATGTCAAGGGTTTCAAACCTTGTGCCCCTAGGGATCGTCATCATGAATCCGAAATCTGTAGGATCTGCCATGAAATCCCACTCTTGCGCAGCATTCTTCTTCCACTCTCCTTGCCACAGACGTATCGAGCGAACCATTTTCTGAAGAATAAAAGCAGAAAACAAACGCAAAACTTATTAGTGACTGCATCGAGTACCAAATCATTGCTATTAATTACGTTTGCATCGCTGCAATTAATTTCCAAGACAGTACATGCATATCATAAAATCAGTTGTCTACAATCATCAAAATTTATGGCTAATAAAAGATCCTAAGTTATCTAAAGAACTAGAGTTAATGCAGCAGTACGAACATTCTCTGCTACAAAAATCGTTACATTTATATCGCTAATTAGTACCTTCCAAAGCAGACAAAAAAAACTGTAATCGGAATTTCTCTCAGAACTTATTTAATGTGTTTGCTGTGATAAGTTACTCGTCGATTGCCTCCCTTTTATAGCCACAGCTCAACTTGTCATTCTCTCTCTCTAAAATACATTGCATGCAGACGATCGCTCTCTCCCCTTGAGATAATACTCTTCATGCAGCGCATGATGTCAGACATGCTCGACATCTGATTGGCCAAAGCCACCTCTAGCATGTCACGTGTTTCGAATGGGGGGTTTTATTCTTCCTAATCATTACGGAACACCCAGTTGCCTTGCAAAAACCCTTTAGCTTCCTAACCTACCTACGATTTCCGTTGTATCACGCAAACAAAGGGCAATGTTGTCATTTCTCTTCTACTACCTTCTGCACGAGGCCCACAACAATTCTGCGTTGGGTACTTACCTAATTTCTCAATTGTTTATGGATTTTGGCCCAATTTGCTCTTAGATTAATGGGCTTTACCATTTTCATTTCGCTAAAGAAAAGAAAGTTCGGTTCAATTCGGTTTATGTGTTAAAACATCGGTTAAAATCAGTTTGGTTCGATTACGATGGGCACATTTATTAATCATAAACCCGGGTGGGGATATTATTATCCAGAATACCAAACGAGTCCAAAAAGAAACTGATTAGCGAATCTCGTTTTCAAGTCGTCCCGAAGCAAAGGAGAGATTCCGCGGCAAATCAGATAATACCAAATCTGAAACTGAGATCAGGAGAAGGAGAGAGATCTTCAAATGGCGGATTCGAACGCAGAGAGACCGTTGAGAAAAATCTCAACGGCTTTCAAAGAGTTAGCAGTCACCGTGAGTTCGCCGAGTCCTGAAGTCCCCGTGGCGCAGTTCTCACACGCTTGCTCTCTCGTCTCGCCTCTCTTTGGCTGCCTCGGGATCGCCTTCAAGTTCGCAGAGATGGACTATGTCGCCAAGGTAATGTTTGACAAAAAGAAATAAGCGAGTTTTACAAATTTCATAATATATAGTTTTGAAATTACTTGTGACAGAAATATTAAATATTTATTACAGTAGTTGTGAAAATGTAGGAATCTATGTTCTGAATTTGTACAATACAATGTATGGATTGTATGTAGTGTCAGCGTGTGTGTTTTGTCTGAAGGATGAAGGTCTTTTTTTTGTTAAAAAAAAAAAGATGAAGGTTTTTTTCTTTTGTTAAAAAAAAAGATGAAGGTTTTAAGCTTCATGAAAATGATGACTACAGGTTGATGATCTTGCGAAGGCGTCGAGTTCAGTATCGACATTAGTTGTAATGGTGGACAAAGATATTGAGGCGAACTGTGTAAGGAAAGCTGGTAGTCATACTAGAAACCTCTTGAGGGTGAAGCGTGGTCTTGACATGGTCAGAGCTCTCTTTGTTGAGATCATAGCTTCCGAGTAAGTGTTCATCTTATGTGATTTTTGTTGTGCAAAGTTAATTAAGTTCTTTATATAGTCTTAAGTTATGTCAGTTATGTGTAAACATGATGATTTCGAAAAGGTCGTTCAGAGTAAATGAAAAATGGTGCCTTGTTATAAAATGTGTGTTTTCATATTGTTTTGCAGAGGTGATAATTCTTTAAAGGATCCAGCATCCAAGTCTTATGCACAAGTGTTTGCTCCACACCATGGATGGGCTATACGGAAAGCTGTTGCTCTTGGGATGTACGCTCTTCCCACTAGATCTCAGCTACTTACCATGCTCAATGAGCAAGGTGAGTGCATCAACTCCTTTCATATTCTCCTCGTATTGCTCTCTATACTTTAACTTCGTCTCAAATGCAAGTTTAAGATCAAAATTAGTTGGAAGGATGAGACAAATCGTACAGATATAGTACTAGAATTCTATTTGAGATTGATGTTGGCTTATGCAGTAGACTCATTATGGTTCACTGTGGAGTGTTAATGTGTTAGCAGTTTTCATTTAGTTTATAGCTATCATTTACATATGTACAATAAATCTTTGTTTTACTAACTATCTTTTGTTTATGAATCTTTACAGAAGCGGAGGCTAAGATAGAGATGCAAAGCTATGTAAATGCATCAGCACCAGTGATCGCCTATCTTGATAATCTATTCCATTCCAAGCAGCTCGGTATCGATTGGTGAAGAACCCTGAAGAGTTTATTATTATCCTTCTCTTGACAGTGTTTGTCACACATAATAACCAATATGGTTTTATAAACTCATGTAATCACATAACAAGTATCAAACCAGAGCTGTTGAAAATTAAAAACTTTATAAATAAATTTATGCTTTATCTAGTTTGTCGGTCTGTGGAGCTTTAATATCTCTAAAGAACTCAGTTGATGTCTTGCTGACATGACAATAAGTTTGCTAGCTTCTTCTTTAGGTCTGGTGCAATCTCAGGGCTTGATAGGAACATATCCAGCGACTGGACCACCCCTTTCCGCTCAATCTCTTTAAATGCTGATGCCACACTTCTCATGATCATATCTCGGCGGGTTACGTCATAAGTGTCTACAAGATGAAGCAAAAACTCAAGTAAAGAGTGAGTGATGTGTAGATACTGCGGTATTGACCATAACATCAAGAGAGCAGCAGGTTCAACATTCATAATGCTGTCGATTCTTTCGTCAAAGAAGAGCCAGTCGTAAAACAGAGCCAGCTTAACACGTGGTTCGACGTGATGATTTTGCCTGCACAGTTCTAGAAACCAACCTATAACAGCCCATCTTGGCATGATCTCTGACCTGATGATCTCGTTACTTGGGTGAACAACACAGCAGATGAACCGGACTATGTCGATCAAAAGTGTTCCTTTTTCAAGACCCAAGAGGAACTTCTTCAAGAACCATATCTGATGTCTCTTATGGCTTCCCAGCTTCACATTCCCAAGCAAAAACCTTAACTGGGTTTCCATCTCAGGGGTGATCCGGAGAAGAAAGTATCTACTTGAAGTTTTGGACTGGTAAATCTTTAAAATGTCAGAGCAGATCAAATCATTCCATATCTCTTTAAACTCGGAGATGTAAACCAGGTCCTGTAATAACCGGACAAGATCCCTTCCAATCTTCAAACTCAAATGCAGCTGCTCTCTAAACATTCTGACACAGAACTTGATCTCTAGTCTCTTCACTTCTTCCAGCTTCGGTATCCCTGTGACCCTACAATGATCCGCTAATAAACGAAGAAAATTGTAGAGAGCACTAGTCAAGACCAAGGGCACATCTTCAAGCAAGCAACCCCATTTGTCAAGAAACAAGCTCACCAGTTCATAGCAAAGCCAAACATTCTGATCTCCATAATCCCCACTTCCAATTCGTCGCAGCAAAGACACAAGCAAATCCTCAAGTCCCACACTCGAAACAGACACCATCTCCTTTGTTAACCAAAGCAGCTGAACCTTAGCTGAGTTAACAAGTTTACCGTACAGTTCAAGAACGATTCCAACAAGCAAACTAGTGAAAAACGCATACCCATCAGTGACGACAGCATGTAAATGCTTGATGTGGGTTTTAGAGGAACCAGAATCGCATAACACGGCATAAAGGATAGCTCTACTGAGCTCAAGAAACTCTTGCGGGTCTGGGATATCCAGGGAGAAGGGTGGCTGCAGCTTAGGCTCAAGATTCACAAAGGCTTGACGCAGTGACAGTTCAAGCTTGTTCTCTGCTTCGTGTAACGACGCAACGAAAGGCTTTCCCTTTTCCATTATCCAATTTGGAAAGATTCAGCAACGTATTGTGGCTAACGACATAACACAAGAAGGCATAATTAAGCAGACTCCACCTACTCTAAATTTCATTCAGGCATTTCGTCATACACCTGATAGGTAAAATATAACTTACCCAGACTGCACCGAACTAAGTTCTCATGACGTAACTACTTAACGTAAGAGAAGGAACCCAGAAGTGTGTGACCGTAAAGAGATAGAAGAAGATCAAGGATGATCAAGAGGGAGATAACAGAAGATTAAGGAAGAAAGGTAGAAGAAGATGAAGAAGTAGAGAGAGAGAGAGAGTATAAGTCTATAAGATGAGAAGAAGATAATTGTATTTGATTGATTAGATTCCCGTAATAGGGCTAATGCATACATATAAGTGTTTGTGCTAAACCAAACTAGAAAACCCAAATGCAGATATGAAACTATTAAATCGGAGTATATTGAACCGGGTAATAATCCTATAACAAAGTGCAAAGAACATCAAACTCCTATAGATGTGATTGACGAGATACTTACACTAGGGCTGAGACTTTTATCAGGATTTCGGATTTGATTCAAGATCTGCTCCAAAATTAGGATATTTGAGGGTGTCCAGATCCAAATTTAGATAGTAAAATCTTGGATCCGTGCAAACCGAATCCGAATACTTCAAATTTCCCGGATATCCGGATCTATACCACCCCTAATTAACATAACTCAATAACAAAAATATTTTTTTGTTACTCAAAAGATTTTGTTTTGTTTGCCCTTGAGACAAATGACCACGTCTTTGTATTGACCAATGTTAAAAATAGGTTAATACAATATCTTCAGCTAAGAGGTTGATTAGTAGAGCATTATCATAAATATTATGCTCTCTATTATCCAATCAACATTTGGCAAATAAGCATTTAGAAAAACATTTACCAAATGCAAATACTCTTCAAATGCTCTTTACTCAATGATATTTGCTCAATGCTCTCATATAGAGCTTTTGGGAGAGCATTTTTATATAGAAAGTATAAAACTTAATAATATTTATATATAATTAATTTATTTTTGTTTATAAATTTAAAAAATATTTTATAATTAAATATAAATTTATATTTTAAAAAATAAAAATAATAATTAATATTTTTTTAAAAAAACAATATTTCACATTTAAAATATAATATAATTTATATAATTATATATATCATTCATTATTTTTAATAACAAACATAACATAATATAATTTATATATTATCGATATAAACATATTATTTAGACACTAATAAATAAATTATATATTAAATTTTATGATAATTTTATATATGAGTAATTTAGTGCTCTACCAATAAATAAATAATAATAATTTATATATAAATTATAATTAATTTATATATAAAATAGAATTTATTTCTTATTTTATTTATTTAATAATAATTATAATTTAATAATAATTAATTAAATTATAACTATAATTTTATATATGAGTAATATGTTATATCCAAAAATAATTTAATATTAAAAATATATAATTTATATAAGGGAAATTGATTATTTTTAATAAAATTATATATTATTAATATATATTATATATGTATTATTTTAAAATAAATATATTATTTTACTAACTATTATGACAATTTTAAAATCATATAGTGTTAATGCTCTGCCAATTACTTTATTAAAAACTTTAATGAAAGCATAGAGCTTTTGTAGCATATTGCTTCTGCAGCATACTGCTACTGCTTTATCATCTGCTGTACCAATCGAGGCCTAAATCGTTTGTAGCTAGGACTATCCTCCTATATATCCTACTATATATTAATTAAAATATTAATTAACAGATTTTACTTATGTATAGTTAAATTTAATTAGTTAATGACATTTCTTAGTTGTTTATTTAAATCAAATCTAAAAATAAAAAATAACTCTAGAATTAATTAATACAAGTTACCAAATAACACAAATAATAATTTATAATAACTAATTGCGGAATTACAGAAATAATGTATAATATTTCGTTAATTGGTTTAATTTTATCAGTTATTTTTGTATAATTACATAAAATATTTTGATATTTTATAAAAATAATTATAATGGTTGTATATTCTTATATAGAGAATTAGATTTAGGAAATATTATATCTTTTCTGTTTTTGTAAGCCTACACATAATTTATTAATCAATTAGAAATATTTTGAAATTATTTATAAACATTTTTCTAGCTTACCAAATCATTTTATTATTCTAAATTATAAGACTTGTATCAAATCATTTATAAAACATACAATTTTATAAAGCCAGTATACTTTAAGAATATTTATAATTATAAAAATATATATTTATAATAATTTATAAATCTATAGAGTTATTTCAATTTTCTTATTATATATTAAATATAAGTCAATTAAGTCAATTTTGTTGCTATGATTAAAAGTGAAATCTAAAAGACTATTATAATTTTAATGGATTTTATATTTATTTATTTATATCAATTATTAAAAGCTTCACATTCAACATGTAAAGATGAAAGACTATCTCACAAAACCTATCGCCTTCATATATTAAATGTGAAATTTTGATATGGACAATGTAATGCATGAAGATCCTATCATTATTGGAGCTGATGTTTGCAATAAGTTATTCCTAGTTGGTGAATTGTGAGTTCCCGTACTCTCTTTGAAGGGAATACAATAATATAAGACGTTTTTTCTCATTTCTCTCTCTAATATACTCCCATAATAAAAAGAGTTATTAACACTCTATGACAATTTATGTGTTTTTATTACACAATAGAGTAATTCAACTATTAAGATAGTTTATTTTAAATAGAGTGAAATGAGAAACCAATTTTTCAACTAGTAGGAAACATCATTTTCTCTTTCTTTATTTCCTCTTTTTCATTGTTTCTTTTACTTCTCTAGCCAAATTTTTTTTTATAAATTTTATTCTTTCAATCTTCCCAAACTAGAAGAAGAAGATAGAAGATCTCAAAATATTTCAAATTGGTCTAACTTCACGATAATTTTGTGGTACTCTTTTACACTGTGTTCTTCCATTTCAATCGAAAATCTCAGTTATTATCAATCTCCGCACCAGAGTCCTTTGAAGTTTCGAATAAAGCTCTAGCTTTTTTTGGAAAAATTGTTTTCTTTCATTTGGTTTTTGGATATAATTGGTCAATTACTACAGTTTCTTTAAGTTCTATAGGTAAAAACGTAAAAACAAAATGAAGATTATATAAAGAAAATACATGGCGATTGTGAAATTTAGTTGCAGAAACGTAGGATACCCTAATAAGAAGAAGATGATTTAATTACGAAATTGCCATTCATTAAAAAAGAAAAGAAAAATATGTAAATTTATATGTGTATATGTGTACATCATCACAAGTGTACACTTTATATTATTAAAATAATGTACACTCTTCACATGTGTACACTATTTATTGTTAAAGCAAAAAACAAAATTTATATATGTACAATTATATGTGTGCATATGTACAATTATATGTGTGCATATGTACAAACTATGTGTAAAATTATATGTGTAAAATTTACATGTATACAATTATATGTGTGCATAACTAAATATCCACATTTGACGACACTAGGCTACAAAACACATATATCTCTGCATGTGGACATGTACAGTAATCAGATTCACACAAGTTTATGTACACTACTACATCTTCTAAAGCTTTAAAAAATATGTCACAGAGTGTACACATGTATTTTATTGTACACATGTACAATGTTTTGTAAAAAAATTACTTATATACGGATTCGTTGTATACTGCAGTAATATCTTCTCAGTCAACCCTCAAATGTTACTCTATTTTTTCTGTTTGTAATGTTGATAATCTTAACATAACAAAACAAAGGCTTGGAAGTTTGGGAGAAAAACAGAAGCGATATTTTCACACACTAATTAAGGATGTCCCAACCTGTGTGTACATGAGAAAAAAATTTACATGTACTTGTGTTTATATTATCTTGAGTTCATGAATAAAATTCACATGTACATTGATTTTTTTGATCTAATTGATTAATTACTACAATATTTTTAAGTTCTAGCGATAAAAACAAAAAGATATGATGATTGCATGAAGAAAATCAATGACGGCTCTCAGATTTAGTTGCATAAATGCATGATACCCTAATAGGAAGAAGATGATTTAATTACAAAATTGCCACTCATTAAAAAAAAAACAAAATGTGTGCTATTATATGTGTACATATATACATCTTCACATGTGTACACTCTTTATTATTAAAACAAAAAATAAAATTTACATGTGTACAATTATAGTGTACATCGTCACATATGTACACTCTTTATTATTAAAACAATGTACCATATATATGTGTACACCGATTACAAAACATCTACTTGTATACTTTCGACAAAAATTTTCATTGATACCTTTTACAAAGTCCAATTTACACATCACGAAGACATATATCACATTTGGAAGGTATATATCATTTACGTGTACATATATATTTCAGTGTCCACATGTGCAATGTTTCATGAAAACTCACAGGTACACCGGTATATGCAATGGTCTATATGTATATATGTTGTACACTTGATAAATTTGTGTACATGTGCAATGATCCATATATACATATGATAAATTTGTTACATATATACTCATCAAATATAATCACTGTGTACACATATATTTCATTGTATATATGTACATCTTCACATATGTACACTTTTTATTATTATTTAATTTATTTATTTAATAAGGGTATAATTATAATTGTAATTTTGAGCTCTTCTTCTTCTTTAACCTAATTTTTTTCTTCTGCGCAACCACCATTGTTACCTGAAAGTTTTCATTGATTTTTCACACTACCAACTAATTTCTTTTCAAAATTTACTTAATTTTTCTATAGGACTTTAAATTATATTGTACATACACGTTTTTTGACCCCATATTGTTATACATACACAATATGAGATTTTTTTCCGTTCATGTGTTCTTCTCGAATTAGGTAATATTTCCGTGATTCATCACCATTAAATCGTGTATCACCTGTCCATGGCCACTGAAACCGTGGTTTAGAGCATAAATTGGTTCTGTAATGAAAATTAAAACCAAATTGTTCAGAACAACAGAAACTAAGAACAAAAATATGAGAAAGATAAAACTTTGCTTTGGAGTTGTTGGTTTGATTCTTTTCAATTTCGAAAAATTCAAGCTATGTGGTAATTGTAGATATT